AAGATCCCAAACAAACTTCTCTCAAAACTGGTTGCCACCTCCCTTACAATTATTGTCAGAAGTTGCTCTATATAGCTGTTGTTCTGCTACAGCAATAGCTATTGTTTCAATTAGCAACCAGTGTGTAAGCGTTAGTGTCGTGCACTTGTGCGCCTTCGTATTGTTACTTTATTTACAAATCTAATTCGACAGCCGCACCCCCTGGCCACCTTCCATCGCCAGCTGTCATATATTCATTGTTCGAAGGAGAGTGCTAATAAATTTTACATCAACAATAGCTTGGAGAGTTCGGAGATGAGGCAGGGCTACACGTGTATCTTTATTTTAACGGAGACCCGCGATTGGCACGCGCAACGAACAAATTAGACGGAAAGTTTTGTGTGAGGGCTGATACCCTTACAGAACGGTACTATAATTTCCATATTACCACCAATATCTGAGAGGATATATTCTCTATTTTCTCTATTTCCATCTAAATGAGAGCCGTACCGTAGTTTGAAAGATATCTGACTGAAACATTGCACAAATCTTTATTTTTGCAGCACGCAAATCACAGAAGGGACCATAAGTACAAGAGTATCTGAATCTTCGTTACGTTGATACGTTACGTTGATTACGCATACGCCGCGTGTTACGGCAAAGAGAAACAATAAGAAAAGTTTTCTTGTTTTTACCCATGTAAACATTTTATGGAAAAATAAAATGAGTTTTGAAGTTGGCGGCAGACAAAAAGTTTAAATAAAATTACCAACTTGCGTGTTGTTTTCGGGTTTTAGCCCCTGTCATACATGGTGTATACGCGATATTATGATGGGCCAATTAGGAAACTCATTTGCAGAGCTTTTGATGTATGAAACGAACACAGAATAAAGTATGTCTAAATAATCTTCATTAATCACCTGCACTTTGAGCATCACAATCTTGATCTCCACTCGATCGTTGGGAGCACTCTTAATATGAGGCGCCCCCGAAGGCGACTCCTCCATCGATTGGGGCACATTGCCAGCACCTCCCATTAAACTATCATCGGGATGGATGAAACTCATTTTTGGTTAGTTTTTTGATTGATTATAGCGGAACCTTTCGGTTCTGGCTCTCATGCTGCTACTGCTGCGCTGTGTTAGTTGTGCAATTTCAATTTATATAATCACGACACCCCCGAATGCCAGCTACAAATCAAATCAAATCAACCGAATACGCGATTTCCCTTCTGACGGGGCAAAGCAATCACAAATTAGATATATCTCAAGTGCTGAATATTTATGATTTCTTTGGAATATCGCTACGAAACGAAACTGATTTATCCGAAAGAGCACTCGCTGTTCTGTGGTATGTGTGTAGGAGGCAAGGGCCGTTTTCGAACTACAAAAGAAATCGCAATGGGGAAATGAAATTTCTTTGGTTTTGGTTTTGGTTTTTGGCGTTTGGCTTTTTTCGGGTTGACTCGATTTCCGCTTGACGCCTGAAGAGTAGCACTGCCACCGCCAGTAGCACTGGCGCACTACAAGGGTTTCTATTAATAGGCCGTAGTGTAGTGTAGTGTAGTGTAGTGTGGTTGTAGTGTCCAAATCAGTATTCGATTCGATTAGATGCTCTGACAATTGCACATGTCCCCAGACTCTTCCCCATCGCATTCATTCGCTCACCAAAAGTCAAGTTCAAGTTTAACAAGACTGAGAGACACCATCGACCGAAAGAGAGTTGATATAGTATTGAGCATCCCATATAGTATCACTCTCGGGTCTGCCAACAAAATGTATGTACTCTTGCCAAAACGAAATAAAGAAATATAAGAAAAAACACTCATACGCCATGTCGTACGCTATTCATTTCGCCTTTCTCTGTCTCTATTTGCTTAAGTGTTTCATTATTTTATTTCCTACGATCCCTCCTCCATTCTGCTTTCATTCCATTTCACCCAAATTGTATTTATTTGACACTTTATTTGTGTTTTCTTTTGGATTGTTCCTCATTTTGTTTATTCGTATGTTTTAACAGACTCTTCAGGTGGTCTTAAGCGGGGTCCATTGTAAAATTGTACCTAATATTTAGACATATATCAGGTAAAAATATTGCTTCATCTGAATAAATGTAAACAAGGCATAAAGAAAACTCAAGAAATTATTTATAACCGCAAGCAAGAGCAGTACTTTTTCTGCTCTTGTTTGTGTATACAAGCTATATTATTATTATAAAATATATACTCGCATAGTAATTTCCCCAAAGAATCTTTTACGCTCTTTGCCACATGAATTTCCCACAGCTAATTGCAGCTGAAACTTCCTCAGCCATTCGCCAATTTACATAGAAAATAGAATTCAACATTAATTCCACACTTGCATCCAACACATGCTGGTACCTCATAATCTGTCTCAAATTAAGTATACTTTGTACGTATAGTACGAGTATATGCCATTAATTAAATGGGAATAAATCAGAGTGAGTCTGAGTGAGTCTGAGACTATGGGACTACTGAAAAATCAGCAATGGGAATGGAAGCAGCTACTGGCTGAGTCAGTGCCAAGAAAAAAGCATAATTCTAGTGACGTTGTGGGTTATAGCCACTTATAAGCGTTCCCCTGACACGTGTTGACAGATGTCTGAATATACAGTGCGTTTCACAGCCTTAAAAATGGGTCAATATTCAGATTCAGCTTAGAATCGAAACGAGTATTCTAATATTGTTAAAAAATTTAGTTAGCAATTTGGAACCATTCTGGCAACTGTATCTCTCACGGTTTATCATTTTTTTCCACAAAATATTTGGTCTTATCCCTTTGAAACACACTGTGCACATATTTTTTTACTAATACCTAATATTCAGCCACTTGTTCAATTTCCTTTTGAGATATCAATATGTATTTTCCAACGAATGGGCGAATTTCCTGGTAAAAGGCAGCAAGCCACATATATAATTGACTAATCCAACTAACGCAATTCAGCATACAGATTTCCCCCATAACGGACAGTCCACTGACCCCATAATGAATTCAAACACATTTAGTCCGCCCGTACTCAGGTTGAAACAATAACTAAACCAGAGATTCTCACTTTACTTTCCAGTATGCATTATTCAGGTGAATTTCCAGGTCGGATGCTCAACGGTTTAGACAGAACTCTGTAATTTCCCACAGTTATTTATCAATTTTTTATGCATAATTAATTACACTTGTACCGCATCTATATTTAAGAAAGCGTAAATCAGCGATTTATTGTGGCAATAGCTAAAATAAAGTGTAGATCAGTGATTCATACTGTTCATCAGCTACCGACCTAAGTAGTGTGGTTAAAATAGTGTCGTAGGAAGTGCCTCAAACATACTTAAATCTATCAATCATTCCTGGATCTTATTGAATTATTTTTATTTGAGTACCTACTTGTATTGGCTGAAGCAGGATTTTATAATTTATCTAATATTGCTACATTACCCACTTGGTAGAAATTTTTAAAACTTTCCTCCGCTAACAGTTATGTTTTATACCTTTTAGCAGGACAATAAATTATTTATCAGTCCCGAAAACACTTGAAATTTTAACCTTCATAAATTTATAATAAATTTACTGCTCACACACGCTTGCTTCATTAATTAATAATTGTGTTAATTTTGCTAAAATGTGTACGGAAAAATTTAGTGCACTTACGAGTACTTTACGAAAATTCCAGATAACCGATTTCCAGTCAGAAGGAGTTTCCTATTCTGGTAATCATTATTTTGTTAGGATATGCGGGCACTACTGATCGATGATTTGGGGGATACACTCCTGCTACCTTTCGCTGTGAACATTAAACGGATACTGAACTCATGGCAGATCCGTTGCCTCTCTTCACACTTCACTTAAAGTGCCAAAAACACTAGTAGTTTCCACTCACACACCGACACGGACATGTCACCCAACTGGCTTGTGTATTTAGTATATATATTAAGCAAATATGTATGTTAAAAAACAGCGGATCGAAAAGAACGGCGCTCGGGGTGAACCTGCGAATACGGCGTAAAGCCCGGTGTTGTTTGCTCAACAAATTTAGCGCTTGTTGCAAAGTGTAAACCGTTTTTGAAACTGAACCGAGCGCGCGCCACTCGATCTGGATCGAGATACGAGACTGAGATCGGGAGAACCGAAGAACGCTGACCGCCGGGATAGTCGTCATATCACGAAGCATGTCTGGGGTTCGTGGGTTCGTAACGAGCATGGAAATTTTCTTATATTTCAGATTGGCAGCACGCTGCGCATGCTCGATTGATTTGCAACTTTTTTTGATGTGTTTTGTTTAGTTACTTTGTCTAATTTGATTGATCGGTTGATCTTCAACAAAGTCAACCCTAACTGGTTCGGTTTTTGGCATTTTGGATTTCAGTATCTTGACCATCATGTGACATTTTGATTAAAAAATAATTACTAATTGACAGTAATTATTAATTACGCAGAAAATCAAAACACACGAGATAAAACGTGTCACGTTTCCACGAGCTTAAAGAATAATAAACACAATTTGATGACGTAGGCATTCAGAATAAACAAACTATAAATAATCAAGACCAAGTATCCCATTGCTTTAGAGAATTTTGAATTTACTTTTTTCTCTCTCCCCTATCCCTGTCTGCATTTCTGATATGAAAGTGAGCTGAATTTAATTGCTTGGGATAATCATTTGAAAGATCAATGAAAAATTATAAACATTTCAAGTGAACTAGGGGAAAATTCGTACGTTGGGTTTTAGGGGGGATGTACAACAAATATTTTGAAATGTAGATTGGAGAATCAAAACCATTCCGAGGGCTGTTCAATAAATCCATGACAAAGATACATAAATCCTGGTACAGATTTTGAGTGCAATGTCCATACACATACACACGTACGTAAGAGTATCCTAATAAAGATTTTCATCCTCATACTTTTTCAAAGTACTTTTTCGGACATGTCAGGATCATTCTTCTACATCTTCTGAGGATGCAACAAAGTCTAGCGCTTAACTGTCATATGGCCTTGTGGTTCTCTGATAATACCACTGATAATACGAATCCCTAATATATTTATCTACTATAGAATGTTCTCTTTCTGATCCGTCAATCCCCTACACACACACTACCTTACCTTCAGCTCACGTATCTACGAGTATGTATGCTCATCGATGACAAATTCCCTTTTGATTTCTGTTTTGATGATTTCTTAATTTTCCTTCAGATATGCTATCAATCAACAAGCCAATGCTAATTCCATGTGACGATTTTTTTGTTCGCGTTAATAATCGATGTAAATACATTTTTGAAAATCGCACAGATGCTCGTACAGTATCTCTCTTCGCTCTCCTTTAGATGTGCTTAACCTTGTTATTGAACTCGCCAGAGGGAACTTTTTCGCTGCACCCATACATATGTACATACAGAAACATTTTTGTGTAGGTGATGCCCATTATACACACGCAAAGAAACAGGTGACAATCATTTTTTTTCCACAAAAAATAAATCGCTAATTTAATTATTTTGCGATCTTTTGTGTTTATTTGCTTTGGGAATCTGTCGGGTTGGCACTATTTACTCTTGCCGTTTCACAGATCATTATGATATATGGGCTAACAGGGAAATGTAATACCACTCCGTCAACGGACCTTGTCCTCCACTCCGGGGGTTCCGGTCTATTCGTCAGGGATGTGCTCAACCTCCATCCCAGGATGCGGAGGTGGCACTGAAACCTTTTTAAAAAGTGACGCCATCTCTTCGAAAAACTTGTTCCTACTGGAGTAGTTCGGATTGTCTAGGAAGGTACTCTGCCGCTTAAAGATTTTAACGGGCCCTATTCCAGCAGAAAAAAAATCCCCAAAAAATACTAACAAAATAAAAGCCTTTGTCAAGTAGCAAGACATTTTTATAACTGAGAAATATGGGGCCCGTCATGGCATTGTAAAAAATAAACAAATTATGTGTTGAAAATTGCCATTTATACGGTATATTGGGAGTCTTTAAAGTACTTTCGACTTGGACCAAGCAAAACAGGTCACAGGTGCCCAAATGTTGAATATTTTCCAAAAGCCCGGTCATCTTTGACAGCGCTGCACAAATATATTCCTTTGTTTAATTTCAAACCTATTATAAAGCGTTAAAATGTGAATCTAATTTAAATACGCAAATCTATTTGATTTCACGCAACTCCTATATTTAATACTTAATTAATACTAAGGGTTTTATCTTAAATTTTGTGACGTTTTTCCTCTTGGCCAAACATACCTCATACCTTATCCTTGCGGCGCAATTAAAAGATCAACTTCAAGTTCGAAGCTTGAAACGTGTAATTACCGCGAAATTACAATTAAATAATAAATGATAATACGAGTAAACAGTTTTATCAGATGAAAAGTTTTACGGTGATGTTATGGGAGACTCAAGCAAGATCCTTTTCAATGGGGGAAATTGTCCTTGTAGGCGGTGAATTTTCTTGGGCCGTTTTTCCTATTCTCCATACAACATTATTTCGGGCGTATTAAAGTTTACTTGAAGGAACCTCCCTTCCTCAAGGAAGAAACAACACGGGGATATGATGAAATGTTTGTCATTCATGCAAATATCAATTCTATGAGCTGTTTTTGTATTACTTATGAGTATCTACTCATAACTCATATCTGTACGAAAATTGTCAATAAATTTGAAATCCATCTCATTTCATTTAGCAGTTTATGGTATTCTTGCAGATACCGAACGGGATCAAAATATTTATAGAGGAATCTAATCTAGGTCAAAAACATGTCAATATATGAGTAAATTCGTTGTTACTTAGAAACTAAGCCAAAGCAGCTTAAGCTGCTGTGCTCCAATTGGAGGAAAGGAGGAAAGGAAATTTCCCAATTGGTATAAGTAGATACATATGTAGCAAACGTGTAGTTACCGTGTAGAGTCACCTTGCAAAAAAGGGACATTTTTTCTGAACTTCTTTGCCTAAAGCTTAATTTATAAATAATCCAATGAATGGGAGTCCTTAAAATAAACCAGATTGTAGAAAATTGATTCATCTATCTGATAAAAGTATATTTTCAGTTGTTAAAGTCCTAACTAGCTAATAGTATTAAATCGAATATCAAAATTGATAAATATGATTTTCCTCGGTATATTTACGGTATCTTTCTGAGGGTTTGACGATATATTTTGTCATATATCCGCGGTCACACTGGTGTCCGTATTTTCTTTTTTAATTAAATGCATCGAAAATTTTTCGGAACTGTTCCATTGTAAAAATTAGATGCCACCTGTCGATTTGTTTACAAATTTGTCTTCGTATTTTAGAGCAGCCAATCCAAACATATCAAAAATGCAACAACTGTAGCTCGATACTATCATGATAGTCGCAAAACCGTCGATAGTAGCGGATATCGATACTATCGATAGTGCCATCGATGGTTTGACACCTCTATTAAATGCTTTTTTTTGCGTTTTTAGGACAAAAAAATAGAGTTTAATCCAAAATGCCACCCACTATCAACAACTCAGTGGCAAATAGCACTGCTGATAAACGCCCTCAGCGGCAAACGGAACGGAAGTAAGTGAAAATACCCACCGCAGACACAAACAGACGCCCACTTAACATGTTTCTTTGGCAGATCGGAAATAATTTGTCGTGTGAAATATGGCAACAATCTGCCAGACATACCCTTCGACCTGAAGTTTCTGCAATATCCCTTCGATAGCCATCGTTTCGTGCAGTACAATCCCACGTCCCTCGAGAGGAACTTCAAGTACGATGTGTTGACGGAGCACGATCTGGGTGTTACGGTGGACCTCATAAATCGGGAGCTGTACCAGGCGGATTCCATGACACTACTGGACCCCGCTGATGAGAAACTGCTGGAGGAAGAGACCCTGGCGCCCACGGATTCGGTGCGTTCGCGCCAGCATTCCCGTACGGTGTCGTGGTTGCGCAAATCCGAGTACATTTCCACGGAACAAACGCGCTTCCAGCCGCAAAATCTGGAGAACATCGAAGCCAAGGTGGGCTACAATGTCAAAAAATCCCTGCGCGAGGAGACGCTATATTTGGATCGCGATGCCCAGATAAAGGCCATCGAGAAGACCTTCCTGGACACAAAGACCGACATTACCAAGCACTACTCCAAGCCGAATGTGGTGCCCGTGGAGGTGCTGCCCGTCTTCCCCGACTTCACCAACTGGAAGTATCCCTGCGCTCAGGTCATTTTCGACAGCGATCCTGCTCCGGTAGGCAAGAACGTGCCCTCCCAGCTGGAGGAGATGTCCCAGGCCATGATTCGTGGTGTGATGGACGAGAGTGGCGAACAGTTTGTCGCTTACTTCCTGCCCACAGAGAAAACGCTCGAGAAACGTCGCGCCGACTTCATTGCCGGTGAACTCTACAACGAGGAGGCCGAGTACGAGTACAAGATTGCCCGCGAGTACAACTGGAATGTCAAGACAAAGGCCTCCAAGGGCTACGAGGAGAACTACTTCTTTGTCATGCGGCAAGATGGCATCTACTACAATGAGCTGGAGACGCGCGTCCGTCTTAATAAGCGACGCGTCAAAGTCGGCCAGCAGCCCAACAATACGAAGCTGGTAAGTGCTAGGCTGGGGTAATTCGTAGAGTATAGTATCCCAATTACAACTCATCATCCCTCTTCCACAGGTGGTCCACCATCGCCCGTTGGAGGCCGTGGAGCATCGCATGCAACGCTATCGCGAGCGTCAGCTCGAGGTTCCCGGCGAGGAAGAAGAGGCGGAGGTGCAGGCGGACGAGGAAATGGATGTGGATGACGAGCCGACCCCAGCGCCAGTTGTAGACAAAGAGAAGGCTGCCGAGGCTGCGCCTGGAACCCCCAAGCCAGCCATTGGCAGCGATTCTCCTGCCCAGGTGGCACGTGACCGTCAGTCCCGATCCAGGACTAGAACTCGCAGCCGCAGTGGCTCAAGCTCCGGTTCGGGCTCTGGCTCTGGATCACGGGCCAGCAGCCGCTCCAAATCGGGCACTCGCTCACCCAGTGGCTCCCGATCGCGCACCAATTCACCAGCGGGATCCCAGAAGTCTGGCGCCGGGTCGGCCAGATCGAGATCTAGGTCACATTCAATATCACGCTCCAAGTCCGGATCTCGCTCCCGCACACCCTCCAAGGCGGGTTCCCGCTCTCGCTCACCCTCGAAGGCGCGATCTCGCTCACGCTCCAAGTCGGGCTCCAGATCCCCTTCTGGCTCCCGCTCCGGCTCTGGCTCACGTACGCCCAGCCGTTCGAGGAGTGGATCGCCCAGTGGCTCCAGTTCAGGCAGCGGCGCCTCAGACGAGGAGTGAAAATAGTTTCGAAAAAATTAAATAAGCATACAAAAAGTGTAAGAGTAAAAAGTAAATATATTCAAGGAACTGAAGCCCAGCCGAGTCGGGTCTGTTCCGATTTATCGTTGGGCATTCAAGAATCATAACGAAATGTAAATCAATAAGACAAGGCGGACACGGAGAGTCACAAAAGTGTAACAGTGTAACAATCAAAAGAAGAGCTCGCCAGGGCGCCGGCTACGTGGCGTCCATCAGGAAGCGCTTAAAGATGTCCCCATCCGAGCTGGGCATCTCCACCTGCTGCGGCGAATAGAGCCGCAGATTCTGGAGCTGCTGCAGCGGCGAACTGCTGCCATTGAAGTGTATGCCGGCCACATCCAAGGGCACTGGCTGCGCCAACTGCGGTTCGACGCCGCCACAGATGCCCAGCTTCTGGCACTGCTCCACAACGATGTCGTCGATGGTCTGGGAGAGCAACGCCTCCTGGTCCGTGTCGGCCACGCCACAGCCATTGATGTCCGCAATCTCGGCACTGGCCGGCGAGGGCTGCGTCGGCGATTCGTTGCCCTCGAGAAATGCCTTGATGAGCTGCTCCGGCGTCTGGTTGTCGTCGCTGAGGCATCTGTGCGTGCGCTGCGACACCTTGTAGCGGAACGTCTTCTGGCAGAGCTCACACTTGTAGGGCATGACGCCCGTATGGATGCGGGTGTGCACCAGAAAGGAGACGCGCTGGCGGAAACATTTTCCTGTAAACAAAAATCACTCATTTAATCTAGATCCTAAAGGATCAGTTGAATATTCTGCGGCTGTACTCACCGCACACCTCACACTTGAAGGGCTTCTCGCCGCTGTGGATGCGCTGGTGGTTGTGCAGCGTGGACAGCTCCTTGAAGGCCCGCCCGCACACCCCACACACATGCGGCTTCACCTCGCTGTGGTAGAGCAAATGCTTGTGGTACGACTGCTGGAAGGTGAAGGTCCGGGCACAGATCTCGCACGTGTATGGCATCTCCCCGGTATGCAGGCGCTTGTGCTTCTTCAGGAAATACTTGGTGGTGAAGGACTTGGTGCACACATCGCACAACCACACCTTGGGCGTGTTGCTGGCGGCCTCCGGCGAGCCTGGCGACTGCTGCAGCATGCTCAGCGCTCCACTGAGCGCATACGGCTGCGAACTGGTGCTGCTGGAGGCGGGGCCACTGCCACTGGCCGACGCCTCCTTGTGCCGGATGCGGTCACAAATGTTTAGCTTCGGCGAGGGGGCATTACTGGGGTTGGTGGGGTTGGTGGCACTGCCATTCCCGCTCTGGCTGGAGCACGGCACCCCCATCATGTGCACCACTTTGAGGTGCACGCGCAGCGACCCCTTCATGCGGAACGTCTTCGAGCATAAGTGGCACTTGTAGGGCTCCTGGTGGGGCTCCTTCTCCGGCTGGGGACCCGTCCGCTTCTCCTCCGCCTCCCCATTCTCATGCACCAGCCGAAAATGCATGTCTCGCAGCTCGTTGTTCCGGAAACTGAACTCACAGATGTCGCAGCTGGCCGGTGGCTCGGGCACTGCTGGCGGTGGCGGTAGAGCGGGCGCCGGCTCCACAGCCTTTGCCTTCGATCTCTTGCCCCTTCGCTTGGGTGCAGCAGTCGGAGTCGGTGCCGTTGCTGGGGTAACAGGAGCAGTGCTTGTGGCAGCAGGACTTTCGGTCATCAGGCTGGTGTGCGTGAACAGGTGAATGGTGAGCTTGTCGAGGCCGAGGAAAAGCTCCTTGCAATTGGAGAAGGGACATGCCAAGGGGCCATTGGCCGCCTTTATCAGCCGCTGCTGCAGTGCATCGATGCTCCCGAAACTGGGCACCGCGCACAGGGGACACAGCACCGATGTGGAACACATACCGAACCGAACACTCACTCACTCGCGTCTTATGCAAATCTTTCAAATTTTGTTTTGGTTTTTCTGGGGATTTTCGGTTCCTCAGGAGTCCATGCCACCACGAGAACACTGAATGCCCAATCGGTTTTTCTTTCAGAAATTTTCTAAAAATACTTGCAATGAAAATTTTTTAAAAATTTTCAGCCCCAGCCGATCCCAGCGAGCGAGATCTCCGTCCGATTCACTGTCCCGATGATGCCAGCGAGGCGAAATAATGAAAAATAATGAAATGCCCGGCGCTGATCGCTGCCGCCGCCGAATCGACAGAAAGAATTTCGAAAACACACTGAAAACTCATACTCACATCTCTCCAACATTCCCGTTTCGTTTCGTTCCGATCCGGTTCTCGCTCTCTTCTTTCTCTCTTTACGGCGGGCAGGCGCCGCATTTCGAAAGACAGTATATATAGATATAGTATTTGTCCGATATATTGTGTTGTGGCGGCGGCCTCATAGCCTCTGTGGCTGTCTTTGTAACGCATCAAAGGAAGGAAGGAAGGGGCTTAATTTCTATATGATATGTCTAGGCATACAGACATACATATGTATGTATATGCGATTCGTCAGATTACTTAAAAGCCATCAGCAATTTATAATTCTAGACAGATGCTTCTATTAGTGGCTCTGCCATGGGGATCAAGTAAATCTGTAGGATAGCTGGATAGACTGTACCATAAAGAATTCTGACTTTTCTTACCACTCGCTTAAGAAGAGACTTATGATTAATTCAGCGTACATATTCAATAATATATTTATTGTAGTACTGATTACAAATAGATTTATTTATTATGAAAATGAGTTAAATGCTCGTGCCAAAGTTTCTATGATCTAAATGATATGTTTTGCTTGAAGAGATTTATTCTGCCAGAAGAGTATTCCACGGCCGTTGCTTTGAAGAAATGTGCATACCCTAGGCCACACATACACACACGCGTACAAATATAGTATCTATGTATATGAATGTAGCCCCATTTGTTGGGATGCTATTTTTATGGCTGCTCCGCTCTCTGGTTTGGGCCCGCTTTGGCAACGCATTTTCCCTGCTGTTCCGTTTAGACGGTCGATTTGTAAACAGTTCGATGGCCAAGCACGTGAGGCCCGGGCCGGACCCGGAGAAAATAATACGTACCATAAAATATAAACGTAATTATGATATCATAGTACCAAAACAAAGGAAAGAAAGAGAAAACAAATAAAATCATTTCTGCGTGGGAAACTCGAGGGATATAATGCTGAGACCCGAGACAGAGGCTGTGGAGCTGTCGTCCTTGAGGGAACTCAAATCGGAGACCGAGGAACGGGCACTGATGCCTGCCAGGAAGCCCTTGCCCGCGGCACTGATATAGGAGCCAGCATCCTGGGACGACGACGAGGGTGTCTTCCAGGACACACAGCTGCGGGTGCGCTTCAAATGCTGCGGCAGCTTGAGGCCCTTCTGCAGTAGTTGGTCAATGATTTCGGGGCCATTCTCATCGCTGTTGGCCATATCCACCAGCATGTTCAGCCCCTTGGAGTTGCGCGCCTCCAGCTCCTGCAGGTTGAGGTCCCGCTCGAAATGGGCCAGGAAATCGTCACTGATCGGACGCTGCTTGATCTCACGCAGCTGAATGCGAATCTCGCGGTTGGCTCTATCCAGTTTCGTACGCTGATCGTCCAGATCCCGTTGCAGCTTCTCCAGCTCCTCCGAGTGCTCTCCCCGCTCGGCCTTGGCCTGTTCGAGGCGTGTGATCAGGTCATCCTCCTCGGCCTTCAAAGCCGTCAGCTTTTGGTCATATCGATGCTTCTTGCAGCGCAGCTGCTTCAAAGTTGCCACATCGCGGGCGTAGGCTTCCTCCATCTGCTTTAGCTCCTGCTCGGCACGTTCCCGATCTGGACAGATGAAGATAACGGATATCATAAGTGGGGCTATCGATCGGACTGGACTGAAGACTCACCCTTTGAATTTTCATCCGCTGGCTCGAAGGTCTTGCGGTAGTTACTGTTGGAGCGATCGAATTGCCGCAGAGTATTCTCCAGTGCAGTCACTTCTTGCTCGGCCTTCAGCACCTTCTTATTCAAGGCGTCCCCCTCGTCGGCCATCAGCTGCCGGCTCTGGGCACTCTCCACCTTTAGCTGGGTGCTGGTCACGAGAGTGCCATCATCGTTCTTGCCCAACAGGCAAGAGGTGAGCTCGAACCGCGAACGCATGGCATCGATCTGTTTCTTACGCTCGCCGAGATCGGCCTTCAGGGTGCTCAGCTCCTCGTTGAGATGTTTGCGCTTCAGCTGAAGGACATCCTCCTGGCTGCGCAGCTCGACGGTCCGGTCCTTGATGGCCCGCCGGAAGATGAGGCGATGCTGTTCCAGGTCATACGAGCCCTGGTCGCAGCCCCCGATGCCAATCTCCAGGTCGCTGCAGCGCATCTTCACCATATTCAGCTCGACGATCCGCTCGGAGTTCTCGAAGCGATTCATGCGCAGACGCTTCACGGTGCCCTCGCAGTAGACCTGCGCCTCTTTGATCTTGAACCGCACCATGTCCAGCTCCTTCTCGTCGACGTTGTACTGGATGACCATGTTGTTCATGTTGTAGTTGAGCTTCTTGTTCTGCGCCTCCGTGGTGGCGATCAGGCGCTGCAGCTTCTCCATGTCCTGCTCCAGATTGGCCAATATCTTCAGATTGCGCTCCTCCACCTCTGGATCGTCCTGGCTGCCGCTTAGCTGGGCGTAGCGGCGCTCAACTTCCAGAAACTTGAAGCACAGATTGTAGTGGATCTCGGTCTGCCGCTGCAGCTCGTGGTTCACCTGGCGTTGGTTGCGCTTCAGGGCCGCCAGTGTGCACGCGAGCGAATCGTTCTGCACGTGGAGTGTCTTCTCCTCGTCCTTCAGCTCTGTGACCTGGCGCTGGGTGCGGAACAGCAGATCGTTGACCTTCTGCTGCTCCTTATCCAGATTCTTTAGCATCGCCTCCTCGCTCTCCACCATATCCTCGAGTATCTTCAGTCGCTGATCTGCATTCAGGGCCTTGTTTTCTAGCGACTTCAGGCGCGCCTGCACCTGCTCCATGACAGCCGTAAAGCCCTCGATCTCCTGCTTCTTGGCATCTCGTTGCTTGACCAAATTCCGGTTCTCCAAGCGCTGCACGTGCACCCTGTTCGAGAGATTCTCCAGCTCCTTGCGCAGCGAGTCAATCTCGCGATCCTTGAGTATGGCCGCATCAATCACTTGCTGGATCAGGTTCTTCATGTCCGATGTCTCCGTGTTCAGCGCCTCAATGCCGTACTCCACCTGGCGATTGTTTTCGATGACCTCGTCCAACTGCTGGTCGTGGAGCTTGTACTTCTGGGTAACGGCGGCCGCCTCCTCCATCAGCATGACGCACTCCGACTCGCTGCGCTGAATGTCATGCTCGCGCTGGGTCATCTGATTGACGGCGTTCTTCCACGTGTCCACCATCTGGCGGCGCTCCACATGTGCTGCCCTATACAGGCACGCCGTCCGCTCCAGGTTCTTTTCCAGGGTGTTCTGCTCGTCGTAGAGCTGGACGACCAACTTGCGACGCTTGTCAATGTCCGCCTGGAGCTGCTGGCGGCGCGTGTTCAACTCTCGGGCCCTCTGCTGATCGTCCAGATAGTACTTCTCTATCAACTGGTACCCCTTGTTGCCATCCTCCATGGCCTCCGTCCACTCCAGCAACGTGGTCTTGCCGTCCTTGATGCGGGAGGTAAGCTCATCGATCTCCCGCCTGTTCAGGCAGATTTTGCGCTGGGTGAACTCTGCATATTCGGTGTACTCCTCCAGCTCCTTCTGGGTTTTGCGCAGATCCTCTTTGATCTTGTTGCGCTCCAGTATAACCAATTGCACCTTGTGCGCCTCCTTGACCACATCCTTCTGCAGTGAATTGTACAGGGTCTGCAAGGGTGTTAGAAACGGGGTTGGTTAAAGTTGCAGCTCTGTTGCCAGCTCTACTTACGAGATTCTGCTGGATGGTTCCCTCAATGTTCTTGGTATGCCTGACCACCGCCTGGTCCCGCTCATCCAGCGTATTCATGTGATGCAGCAGTTCCAGTTTCAGGATCCTCATGCCCTCCAGCTCCTTGAGTATGGCCAGATTTTCGGCATTAGCCATGGGTATATCGGCATCTACTGTCCACCCCATGGAGGCCATTGCCTCCTTCTTGAAGTCATTCAGCGATGCCGTCTTCATATCGTCCGTATCATTCATCTTTATTGGGGATTCGGGTACCTCTAGGGGGGTTCGGTTGATTTGTGTGTTGCTTGGTGCTATTGGAGAATATTCTGATTTGTATTTCTGATTTCTATTTTGTTCCCATGTTTGCTTCATTGGCAACCAGGTGTTACCCAGGGAAACGTTTTGTTAAAAAAAAAGGGCAATATTCTAATGAATCGATTACTCAATTGGGCCCCTTCCATGGTAGCTATAGTAAGTGTCCATAAAAAAAACAAACACTTAGTTCGAGAACTCTTTGGCAGCGTTTAATACTATCTTTAATTTGGATTCCAACAACAATAGCTACTGCGTCAGCTTTGAAATATTTTTGTTCGAAAACTGAGTGACATTTAAGCAAAGACCTCAAGAAGGTGAAACTGATAGCGACAGGCTCCTGTATGTTGATTTTTAAATGCACCAGGAAACATCGGACCACATCCTATGTGAAGATACAAGAATATATAAATATTTCCGGAGAGCAAAAGGATTTGGGAAATAGGACCCACAAACGTCCCTAATTTCAAAAGATCAATATATGCACTCGAAGTGCACTCGTAATAAACTTATTTACTTTTCTAGAGAGCAAAATGATGATAATATGATATAGTACAGTGGTCGGCACGCACACACTCACATGTTTTGCAGTGCGTTTGTGTGCGTAGACAGCAGGCAAAAAACGGAACATTGTGTTGGTGCCAACCAGTGCACAGTAGCAGAGTCTTTTCATATCCACAATAGATAGGGCCGTGCCGAGCCCTGATATACATAGTATAAAACAGAACCCAGGCTTTGCTATAAACCAGCTCCCAACTGCAACCACATGACGCGGTACATTGATGCTTGAGATGAGAGCAAAATAGTATAAAAGCGAGCGGCAATCAATAATATACACTTTATGGGTCGGAAACGCTTCCTTCTGGATGTTACACACTTCTATAGACCATATACCATATTAAAGACATTCCATAGCATACAATTTTTACTCCTCTGCTTAAAGACTATGAGACCTAGAAAATTCAGTAAAAATAAAGCACTACGGCGCTGATAATTTAATTTTTTTGTTTGTATTTTTATTTATTTTGCATCTTGGTTGTTTGATTTTTCTTGTTCTTCCTTGTTATTATTTATATAGCAATTGTTGTTGTATTTGTTGTTGTTGGTGTAACTACTACATAATTTAATATGTAATATTAATGTTATTTGATAATTTAATGCTAGCATTTTGTATGTTATATATGTAACTTGACCAGCATCCCAGGAGATGCCATTGATTTCATTTGTTAATAATAATTATATTATATTATATATTATCCATATATTATTTATATATTTGTATCGGGTTTCGTCGTGTCGTACCCTCCAAATCAGTATAATCAGTACTGCAAAAAGTTTTTATGTTTCTATATTGTAATGTAAGATCGGTTTCGCATTTGATAGTTTTTCTTTTTGTTTATTTAAATTAAACTGCATTATTTATTAGCTTTCCTGCTGATTCTTTTATTTCTGCTGTTTTTAGATCACACAAAATGTGCGCCTCTCTCTATGCTTGGGGTGCTGTTCATCCAGTACAATATTTATATGTAATGTTACAATTTACGATATAATATATTGATTTCTATATATATAATATTTGTAATTTATATGCATAGTTGATGTAAGAGGGATGGGGGATGTAGTTACTAAACTCTAAACTCCATTTAATGCGTTTTCTTTTCGCTTTCTCATTTTGCTTTTTATAGATTTATAGATTTTCGCAAGTGAAACAAACACTCTTTCACTCCTTCACACTGCCTATCCATTACTCCATTATCCATTCTCTGGCTGTTGCTTCACTTTCCTTTCCTTTTGTAACACAGAATTTTCTTTCAATCGATTAAAAGATATACTAGATTATTACATATGTATTCTTTAAGTATAACTTCTCAAGGGTGGATCTCGTTTTCCTCTAAATGTCTATGCCTTCTTCACTGAATCCTGAATCCTTAAACATCATTTTCCTTGGCGCTCGGAGATCTATCCAGTCAACCGCCAGCAGCCTGCTACTGCATCTACTTCCTTCTATTCCGTTTATCACCCTTCTTCTACGATCATTCGGTTCTAATAAGCGTTTATGCACATGGTAGGTATGCTTAGAAATTAATTAAACTCATATTTAAACGCCAGAGCACATTGTTTGACATAACAAATAAAAATAAACTTAATGAAATGATTACCATAAGCATAAAGAAAATCCCCAAAACAAATTCAACTACAACGCGAGCCTCACGCTCACATCACAAGAATAAATTGCTGGTCTGAATATTAATTGGGGCGGAAAAAAATAATATATCGGTTGCCGACAAACCGCTTTTCTTTAACTATTTAATTTATTTAAGAACATTTTCGTGTGATTTCGTATGTGTAACAGTGTCTCCATGTAATCCAATGGTCGCTTGGGAAGTCCCTCTGTCTCCAATTTCCTGTATTTTTGTGTGTGAGTGTGTTCTTTCGAAATGTTGAACTAACCAAAATATATTATTTCCATATATTAATATTGAAATTTAGCAAAAGTGCCGGAAGCTGGGCGTGTGTGTGTGTGTGTAAAGGGTTTCCAGAGATAGGGAAGGAAATGAAAAGAGTAGAGGGAGACGACGTTTGTTTGTGTGTGTGTGTGTGTGTGTGTTGCCACAGAATCAGAAATAAGATTTCAGAAACGGCAACGAAACGAATTAAAAAATTGTGCTGCCGTTGCTGCCCCCGTGGTGGACTTTGTATGGGCGGGGGGACGAATGCCGACTATCCTACTAAACGGCAATATGGTACTATATAGTATGCCATTATGCCTTGTTCCATGTTGTTTTTATGTGTTTCTTTTAGTTGTTGCTTCTTCTGATCTTGGGTGTCTTAGGTGGTAGTGTTGATGCCGCTCCTTGCGCTGTTTTGGGTTTGCTTAAGAGAGATGGAAGGACATGCTGCCCTCGTTGGCGGCCACTTTCAGTTTCTGCAGCATCACTTCACGGGTGGAGTAGTCGGGCAACTTCAGATAGTTGACACATGTCATCACAGATGGTAGATAATCATTGGGATTCTGATTGCCATCCAGGGTCTTGCGCACAATGGTCAGCGGCGGGGTGAGCGCCTTGAAGCCGCCGGTGGGCAGACGTGGCGATCCAGTCACGAACTGCAGGAAGGCGCGCTGCTCGTCGCGGTTGTACGAGGAGAGTATCTCGTACAGATGCTGTATGGCCTGAGATTCCTGGTGGAAGCCGTGATCAGTACGGCAGCTGTCCTGCAGCATTTTGGCATCCCAGCGCTGGTGCTGCTGCTCACTGGCCGATCCACAGAATACGCACTCCAGCTCCTCGGGATAGAACATGCGCAAACGTTGTATGGGAAAGACGGAATCGAAACCTATCGCAAACAAAAACGGAAATGGAATTAGAACTAGAACCAGAGTCAGGTGGAGCTGTTTCCTCAAGTCTTACCCTCACGCAGTGCCTCGAACTGCTTCTGTACGCCCTCGATGAGGAACCAGTAGGTGACCAGCGAGATATACTGCCGCAAATTGTGTACAGTCACGGGCGTGTCGCGTCCCCCGCGACACAGCTCAATGTTGGCATGACCAGGCAGGACAAAGTCCAGCCCCAAATCAGCTATGGGACAGCCATCGAGATCCAGTTGCTCAATCTACAAGTCAAAACATAATTAGAGCCATAACTTGCGGGGGTTCATTTTTCATCGCTTTTGCTTACCTTCTCTGTCTTCTCCATGGCATCCAGATTGGGATCGGCGAGGAGATATTCACGCTGACGCACCACATCCTGCAGACGCACCAATGTATTCTGCACCTCCGGTGCCACGCGCATCAGATCGGCCAGGCCAATCGAATGCTCTTCGCTGACCAGCCAGCGATAGAAGGGCAATGAGAATGGCAAATCCAGCTAAGGAGAACAAAATGAATTATTATTTGGCAATGGTTGGGGAAATGGTTAAGGTGGAATCCTTACCATGCGACTATCCATCACAGCCTTTGCCATGAACTTGCCCAAGAACTTAAACTTGGTCTTGGCTTTGGTCATTTGTGGCAGCTTCGAGGATTTGCCCAGCGGCAGCGGGAACAGGCCATGTACCGCATTCACATAGCTCATCGTTGTGGTGGTTGTGGTTGTCTGCATCTGTGCCTGCTCCACTGCTGCTGCAGCGGTGGTGCTGTTGGTGTTTGTTGTGCTGCCAGTCGTCGTCGTCGTGGCTGGATCATTCTGATTCTGAGCAGCCATATCACTTATTTGCTGTGCGATTATCATATTTAAAGCGTTCTCATTGGAGCCGGCACTGGAGGAGCTGTGCTCCGCCTGCTGCTGCAGCTGCTGTTGCTGTCCAGCTCCACTGCGCAGGGCATGCGAGCGGCTGCTGGAGCGGGTGGGATGTGGATGATGTGGAGGCTGTTGGGTTGTTGTTGTCGTCGTCGTGGTGGTGGTGGTGCTGCTGCTGACTAAAGTGGCAGCTGCTGGCGGTGACTGGTCCATGGTAGCCGCCTCGAGGGCATCCTCAATGTGAAGCACAGCACTGCTGGACTTGACCACATCCACAATGGTCACTGAATTCTGGCGATAGCTGTCGCTGCCGTTCCAGAGACCCAGATCCGTGCGCTGAAGCTCGGAGGAGACCAGAGCATAGAACTCCAGGGTCGGGCCGAGTCCAGTGCCCACCTCGTTCTCGTACTGGATCTCCAGCAGGGCCTTCGAATGGCCAAAGTCCTGGAGGATGTGCTCGGCCTGCTTGAGGATCTCGGCACGGGAAATGGCCCGCTTGCGGCGGTCGAGGCGCGGGGCCACACGCTCCGATGATTCGGCGGCATTCAGGTCTGGTGTGGTGTCCAGCAGGCGCTGGAGAGCACGATCCCGATCGAAGCTGGTGGCATAGAAGAGCAGATGGCGCGTCTCGAAGGGGAAGAGGAAGGGGCAGGCCATGCCTATCTGGGGCAGCCACTGGGGCAGATTGCCGGTCATGATCACGAGGGGATCCTGCAGCTGGCGATTGGCCTTGGCCGTGATCTTCGGGTGCACAAACTCCGCCTGGGGAATGATGTTCTGGCGCACCACACACCCATACAGGTGCTCCCAGTGGCGGTTAAGGGCGTGGATCACGCGCAACATGCACAGGGCGTCCAGGGAGGCGTCCTGCACCGTCACCACATCGGCGGGTAGCACGCTGTTGAGGAAGGGCTTCAGAGCCGACACCACACAGGGTGCGATGCCCTCGTGCCAGAGCTCAGTCTTCTTGCGCATGAACT